TCGCTTTCACAATAAAACCCACAGCGTCTTCAAGACATGGCGGTGATGGCAACAACAATACTACAGCGAGAATAAAAGTTACGCCTTCTTTCTTTGCGTGAACATTTGGGCGGCATTATGCAAATCCTCCCAGATAGTGACATAGGTATGTGGGGGCGTGTCAGAACGAGCCGTTTTAGGTAGGCGTGGTTGACTCTTAACTTTTCTAAAGAATATCTCTTTGGATTTGAGGCTTGAGTCTTTGCAACTTTACAGATCTTCTTTATGCACCAAGAGCTTGTAACACTCCAAAGAGAAAGGAAAAATTGAAATCGCATCATATGACCCCTTTAACTAAAGAGTGCCTAAGAAAAGAGTGCTGTCCCGATTCAGTATCTGCGGTCAGATGAGTTGACAGGCTTAATGTCAGTGTCATTATTCTATCGTTATTTTTGTAACTTGTTATGAAATAAAAAGTCTCTAATCTTAGAAAAACCTGCCTAATGTTATACCGTGTTCGTAGCGCACACTGTTCAAAAGCACGCGCGAATGCGGCGCCGCGATGTATATCACTTCACTAAAGCGCAGAAACTATGAGCATGCATAGCGTGAAATAAAAGTACAGTACCGATAAATCACATAACTGGTACTGCGTGTTAGCTGTGAAGGATTTGCATGAAGGTATGATATTCATTCTATTCAGGAGCAGTTTCCACGTTTCATTAACAATTCATGTTTGTATTGTATATTCACCATGGTAACTGTTTCCATAACCCAAAAATACCATGTTATTTTCACTTTGTCATTTTGTATGTTTAAATGACTGTGGTGGCTCAAACCAACTTAACTGTATTAACAAAAACTAGTTTGGGACTGCTATTTAATAGCCTTACTTTATAGGTTGTTTTGCATAAGACAGAGAGGAGAAGCAACATGAGCGAGAAGGAGAGGACCGGTATTCAGCTGTACGAACCGGACTCAGACCCTGAACAAGGACAGACTACAGCAGAAGAAATTATGTTTTATTAACTTAATTAAGTTCGGGAGGAGCTCGTACAGATAATTAACACGACCAACTCATTATCAGCAATCACATCGGCTATCCTATCAGCTCGAGAGAGAATCTATAAATAGCCTAAGCCGTCTTACCTTCATTCTCTCTAAGTCTTTTAGCATCCCTCCTCCACCCCAACTCCTCTCCATCAGCCCGTTCCTACCCTAGGGGGAGCGCTCTGGGTCCGGGCAAAATACCGAGCTCGGAGCCCTCTCCCATCGCCAAATACGCATGCATTTATCCCGCTTTACTATCTGCAGAGCGAACTCGTGAAACAATAATGCGAATGAACCAGAATGTCTCGGAATGGTAGTTTGAATCATGTATGTACTTGACGATGGATGCGACACAGCCGATCGCACGCAGACAAAATGCTGAACATGGCACAACACACTAGCTGTGTTTACATGGACCCTAATAATCCGATTGTAATAGGACTAGAAGCACAATCAGTATAAAAAAAGTTGCATCAATGACGTCATATTGCAGACAGCCTGGTTTGGTTTTATGAAGATTAAAAAAAATAATAAAAAATTACCATTCTAAGATGGCTGTGTACACACAATAGGTGCCCTTTAAACCAGGTGGTGGGTCGCGAACCAAAAAGTGGGTCGCAAGACCGTTCTGAGTGGGTCGCGGAGTGTACAGTCAAAGAACAACATCAACAACAAAAAACATAATTCTAAATGTGTTTCTGATGCGAGACCTTTATTTTGAAAGAAATGCGTGAAAGCTGTTGACACTTTTTTTTTTTTTGCAGTTAAAAGACTGCTGAGAAAAAATCATGATCTGCGGTCAGATGAGATGTTGTCAGGCTTAATGTCAGTCTCCTTATTCTATCGTTATTTTTGTAACTTGTTATGAAATAAAAAGTCTCTAATCTTAGAAAAACCTGCCTAATGTTATACCGTGTTCGTAGCGCACACTGTTCAAAAGCACGCGCGAATGCGGCGCCGCGATGTATATCACTTCACTAAAGCGCAGAAACTATGAGCATGCATAGCGTGAAATAAAAGTACAGTACCGATAAATCACATAACTGGTACTGCGTGTTAGCTGTGAAGGATTTGCATGAAGGTATGATATTCATTCTATTCAGGAGCAGTTTCCACGTTTCATTAACAATTCATGTTTGTATTGTATATTCACCATGGTAACTGTTTCCATAACCCAAAAATACCATGTTATTTTCACTTTGTCATTTTGTATGTTTAAATGACTGTGGTGGCTCAAACCAACTTAACTGTATTAACAAAAACTAGTTTGGGACTGCTATTTAATAGCCTTACTTTATAGGTTGTTTATTCAGTATTAATCATATTCTTAACAATCTGAACTTAATTTTTGTTAAATAAATTTGCTTTGATTTTGTATTTTAACAAATTATATATATATATATATATATATATATATATATATACACATACATCCGGCCGTCAGTTTGTGACCTCAAGCTCAAGCGCACTTGGGTTATGCAGCAGGACAATGATCCCAAACACACCAGCAAGTCCACCTCTGAATGGCTCAAGAAAAACTAAATTAAGCTTTTGGAGTGGCCAAATCAAAGTCCGGACTTAAATCCGATTGAGATGCTTAAACAGTCCATTCATGCTCGAAAACCCTCCAATGTGGCTGAATTAAAACAATTCTGCAAAGAAGAGTGGGCCAAAATTCCTCCACAGCGATGTGAAAGACTCATTGCCAGTTATCGCAAACACTTGATTGCAGTTGTTGCTGCAAAGCGTGGCACAACCAGTTATTAGATTTAGGGGGCAATTACTTTTTCACGTAGGGCCATGCAGGTTTTGACAGCTTTTTTCCCTTAATAAAAGAAATCATCATTTAAAAACTGCATTTTGCATTTACTTGCATTATCTTTGTGTAATATTAAAATTAGTTTGATGATCTGAATCTTTTAAGTGTGACAAATATGCAAAAAATAAAAAAAACAGGAGGGGGGCAAAAACCTTTTCACACCACTGTACATACATACATACATACACACACACACACACACAGCGGGTAAAATAAGTATTGAACCATCACCATTTTTCTCAGTAAATATATTTCTAAAGGTGCTGTTTTCACCAGATGTCAGTAACAATCCAAGTAATCCATACATACAAAGAAAGCAAAACAAATACGTTCAGAAATTAAGTTCTGTGTAATAAAATAGAATGACACAGGGAAGAAAGTATTGAACGCATGAAGAAAGGGAGGTGCAAAAAGGCATGGAAAGCCAAGACACCAGCTGAAATCTGTCAGTAATTAGAAAGAAATCCTGCCCCTTGTCAGTGGAAATTAATATTAGTTGGTTCAGTCCCAAATGATGGTCTATAAAAAGGTGTCCCATGACCAAAGTGTCACACAAGAAACATTTTATGATGGGTAAAAGCAAAGAGCTATCTCAAGACCTTCGTAACCTTATTGTTGCAAAACATACTGATGGCATTGGTTACAGAAGGGTTTCTATACTTCTGAATGTTCCAGTGAGCAATTTTGGGGCTATAATCCGAAAGTGGAAAGAACATAATTTCACCATAAACCAGCCACGACCAGGTGTTCCTCACAAGATTTCTGACAGAGGAGTGAAAAGAATTATAATACGAGTTGTCCAAGAGCCAAGAATCACTTGTGGAGAGCTTCAGAAAGACCTGGAATTAGCATGTACAATTGTTTCAAATAAAATAAGTACAATAAGTAAGTAATACACTCAACCGCCATGGCCTGCATGCTCGCTACCACGCAAGGCTCTATTTCTGAAGAAAAAGCATGTTGAAGCTCGTTTAAAGTTTGCTGCACAACATTTAGACAAGCCTGTGAAATACTGGGAGAATATAGTCCGGTCAGATGAGACAAAAATTTTACTCTTTGGATGCCATAATACACACCATGTTTCGAAGTCAAATGGCACTGCACATCACCCCAAAACATCATGGTGTAGCACTGGCAAAATTCATATAATTAAAGGAAAGATGTATGGAAAAATGTACAGAGACATTCTTGATAAAAATCTGCTGCCATCTGCCAGGATGATGAAGATGAAATGAGGGTGGACATTTCAGCAAGACAATGATCCCAAACACACAGCCAAGGAAACTCTCATTTGGTTTCAGAGAAAGAAAGTAGAGCTGCTAGAATGGCCCAGCCAATCACCTGACTTTAATCCAATAGAAAATCTATGGAAAGAACTAAAGATTAGAGTTCATAGAAGAGGCCCACAGAACCTTCAAGATTTGAAGACTGTTTGTGTGGAAGAATGGGCCACAATTACACCTGAGCAATTCATGCGACTAGTTTCTCCATATAGGAGGCGTCTTGAAGCTGTCATTACCAGCATAGGCTTTTGTACGAAGTATTAAATAAATTTCAGTAAGCGTGTTCAATACTTTTTCCCTGGGTCTTTCCATTTTATTACACAGAACATAATTTCTGAACTTATTTGTATTGTTTTCTTGTATGTATGAATTACTTGGGTTGTTACCGACATCTGGTGAAAATTTCATGTCAACAGAACCTTTAGAAGTATATTTAGTGAGAAAAATGGTGATGTGCTCAATACTTATTTTACCCGCTGTATATATATATATATCCATACTGTTGAAAGCATCCGGCAATATGGGTTTAGGTCAGTGGTTCTCAACTGGTTTGGCTTTGGGACCCACGTTTATATATATATGGTAAGTGGGTAATGGCTTGATGACCATGGGAAAACGTGGGTCCCAAAGCCAAACCAGTTGAGAACCACTGACCTAAACCCATATTGCCGGATGCTTTCAACAGTGTGGATACATTGAAATGCATGGATTTTTGTGGAGAAAATCTTCAGCCAGTTGGTTATACAGCACATTATATAGGTTTGTAAATGGTGGTTATGTAATGTGAATGTGTGTGTATACTCGGGCTCATTCGTTCCTTTGACTCCAGGATATGCACATGCCATCTGGAGCTCTGTTCTTGTAATTGCTGTTATTTCAAAGACCGTTTCTCTGTGCTTTTGCAGGCGACTATGCCGGCTTCCCTGGTTGTGGCCTTCTCCGTTTACACAGCACTTACCGCCATGACCTCAAAATTTATGCATCAGATGAGGGTCGTGTGCAGATGACTGCGGCGGCTTTTGCAAAGGTTTGTTGGGATTTGTCTGCTGGGTATGTTGGTACTACATAATGCTTGTAGATGGGATTGATATAAACCACAGTAGATTAACAGTGGCGCTCAAAATTGTGCTGTTTTGCTTGTTTTTTTATTTTTATTTTGTTTTGCGTTTTTATCTATTGTTTGTTTTATTTGATTTTTTTTATGCTTGATTTGCTTGTTTTTAACATTTATTTTGGTCTTTTTTCACACTTTAATACTGTTTAAAACATTTTTTTATATTATATGTAAATGATCTATTATTTGGTGCATCTTACATTAAATTTTTTTTTTATAAAAAAAAATAATGTAAATATTTTTTTACATTTAAAAAAAGTAATATTACC